AGGTGCGTTCTACATGGTCTCCCTGAATACTATATGCTTCTTTATCTCCAATTATTGTGTTGTGTACATTTCCCAGACATTTCCAGGCAGTTCAGTTGACATCGAGCGTGAAAATCGTCATTCTTAATACCTAGATAAAATGTCTTAGTGACAAGTTAAGTGGATACTTTGACCAATTTTCTTTTAAACTGTTGTGGCATTTCTCCTAACTCCTTTGGGCCAGTAAATCTCCTATCTTCTAGAGCTGTATCCTCATTCTTCACCGCTCAGAGGACGAGTGAGTGCAATCTTAAAAGTCTATTGCCGATACCAATTCAGAAGAATATCATACACAAGGCCTTGTGGAGAAAACGAGGTCACTACATTTAACTAGAACGGGAATGAATGCCTAATAATGTTGGTCATCCAAAATAAAGTGTATTCTTTTTAAGTAGTGTAAGCTCATCAAGAAAATTACTATAAAATTCCTTATTTTATGTAATAAGCACCAAATAGGCACCGAATTAGGCAATATATTATATCGAATATAAGAATAAGGCGTAGACGCTCAAACCAAATTCGTACTTACATCATCCTTGACGAGTTGAGGCGTTAGGGCCCTTGTCAACTGGGCAGAAAGGAAGGGCGTTCGGGGCTGCACATCTCTGGCAATCTTTTCGAGGCAGTTGAAGACAGTCGACTCACTCCCGCCTTGCCAGACGTAGTTGGTTCGAGAGTGTGGGGATGAGGTATATTGAATCTTGCAGTGAGACTTGGGAGTAGTGACGGTAGGACTGGGGTTGACATTTATAGTTTTGGAGTCAGAAGTGAGAGGAGTTCTTTTGGAGGACTTTGTTGATACACTGGGGGAGCATACATAATCTACATCTGACTGAGCAGTCAGTTGGCCTGACAGACAATGAATGTCGGGATCAGCAGGCACACGGCGGCCCTTTGTGCGCCTGAGCAACTGTTCAGCCTTAGAGTGGGCTTGATCCAGCTGTTTAAGAGATGGAAAAAAGCAAAAGAACGAACCTACAGTTGAATTTAAAACCACATCAGGTCTACTGGTATGGCCAAGTTGCAGGCTGACAGGACGCCATCGAGGATTAAGAGTTATGAGTTGGTCGTAACTGTTCTTAGTTATTAAGGAGGCTGTGCAGCATATACGTCGACAAATAGAAACAAGCGAAATGATAGGGAATGGTGAAAAAATATAAAAACTCATAATCACTGAGACGAGCATCGAGATAATCTGACTATAGGATGTTTGGATGGCATATGATACAAATAGGAAATCGTAGATCTTCTAAAGTGATTAATGGGTAGATAAGAAGAGAAGTTGGGTTTCGAAAAAAACGACTAATAAATTCATTTTTTAATACTGTCGTTCGATTCATAAAATGGCCCCACTCGAAACCAAATAAGGGCTACCCCCGAGGTCTGACTGGATTGGCTTGGAGCATTGAGAACATAGGAAGCAAGTAGGATTATAGCGGGCTACCATTCTTGTCTTAGTGCCGAAGACTTCTTGGTAAAAATTGAAAGTCACAGCTTCACGGCAATCATCTTCCGGTCTATGGTGAGGCCAATTTAAGAACCAATTAAACGATATGAGGGGCAAGAAACTATGGTGAAAAATTGTTGAAGGGACTTTCATTTCGCACCAAAGTGCATGAAGAAGAGATTAGTAGGTCAATCTCACCAGAAGAGGACGGATGAATACCGTTGTATTGAGGCCGTTTGGCTCTTATACGACGTTCAGGTTGGCGTAGTCCACGAGACCTCCTCCCTGGTTTCGGGTGAAAACGGGGGGTGATGATAGGGCCTAGGCGAAATAGGGTGAACACAACTCATGCATCATATGATGGAAGAAAGTTCAGCCCGTTTTCATCCGAAAAGAGGGAGAAGGTCTCATAGACTGCGACAATCTGAACGTCGTATGAAAGCCAAACGGCTGAAGTGCAAAGGAATTCATCCATCATATTCTAATGAGATCAACCCACTAAGCTATTCTTCATGCACTTTAAAACGAAATGAAAGTTTCGTCAATAATAGTATTGCAGGACATTAATCAAAACCCAGTTTATCTTCGTATCTACTATGGTCAAAAAGTCTAACAGAAAAAGATAAAATTATCTTGGATTATGCGAGAACACACCAGGGTCAGAATGGCGCAATAGTGCTTTTCTGAAATTTCGTTAGAAACTCGCCCTCAGGCATACGGAGAGCTTTTGGAGGAAGTTTTCAGGGTAAACAAAAACTGTCAGTAGGAGCCGAGCATGAGTGCCCATCAGTGGCCTTACTAAGCTGTAACTTACGCTTATGCCTGCGCTGAATTTTCCCAAGAGATGCTTCGTAAATTCAAGACCAGAGCCATACAGACGAGCGTAATTTAGCACTTTGGCCTCGGAACGCGAGCAGTTCATCATCTTAGCGACTTTAGTATGCAGATCTGTTCCCTGCGACTTGTCTCCCTCCAAGGTCATCCAACCAAAAGGAGTGCTTCCTAAATGAAAAAGAATAGGTTCAGGTGTAGGCGGGACATGATAAGAAAGGGCCTTCAAATGATCGCAAATGCACCCCTGGATTTGTGAGTAAAATGTGAACCCTTATGGTGTGGATTAAGAGGGGTCTAAAGCAAGGCAGACAACTGTTCGAGGGGAATCGGAGACTTTGCGGGCGAATGCATCATCACTCCGCATCACTGTCGAGCCCTTCAAACCCCAGTTTCGTTAACTGGCACTCCCTCATCGAAATGAAGACAGCATTCTTAATCCGCAAAATGGACGGAACTCGGCCTCCCTCCGGGCCTGTCTGCAGAGGCTGACCAGGTGAATTTTCTCCTCCACTAGAATCAGAGAGTGTCATGATGAAAAGTAAAGAAGGGCTCTACCAGTATGCAGTACGACTGTAGAGAGCAGCTGAAACGAGAGCCAGAAGTCAAGAAAACGGCTCTCATTAATCACCAGTTTCGTATGCTGTTGTGTGCACTGTCAGGGATGGTGAAACCGAATGAGTTGATAAAACGTTACTGTAGTGGGATTGTCACTGCCATCATGAGGCTGAGCTTTCAGGAGAGCACTAATTCTGCACGATGTGACAGCAAATGAGTGATTCTAAGAAAAGCATTTGAAGAGAAGACTAGATTTTTCATTGAAATTGATTACTAAAAAGACTTCAAAAATAGGTGTCACAAGACACTATGGATTGAAGATTCGGGTAAAGTAGGATTTCGAGAAAGTCAGTAAATCTGGAGTAGGGGTTCTAATCACCCTAGGTCGCATAAGGTAATGAAGGACTGACAGTCGAATTTTACTTAACGGAATCAGTAGACCTTAACATTCAAGTAAAGTTTAAATGGCCTTAAAAATACCTTTAGAACAGCAAAGTTAGGTAAAACTCAATGAAAACATAAGGCCTATTCATATCATGTGGGAAAATTCGACCATCAATTCTTCATCTCATTACGCAACCCAGGGTGACTAAAACTATGGAACCAGTGTAATAAATTAGTTCAGGCAACATGTTTCTGCGTGGAAATCGAAGTTCATCTGCAAAACACTGGGAGGCATGGCCGAAGGTGATAGTAATAATTTTAAGATGTGTAGCGAGGAACCTGATAATGGAGACAGGGCGTTCGATTTGATCAGTAATTAGACGAGCAGACGACTCCAGGTAAATTATTCTTGCAAAACAGTTTATAGACAGTTTCGACAAAAAACGACCATTAGCAAATCGATTGAAAATGTACTCAAAACTGTGATGTCGTGGCTGCTGATGCTTCTTGGTCTGTTTTGCATGTTTAACAGGCATTTTAAAAGTGCAAAAAGACTATAACTCAGGTTTATTTGACAAAAACTTGTGAAATATGGTTCCGTCTAGTGCAATATACTATCGTCCTCAGAGTAGATGGCGCCTAAGTAATAAAAAGATGCAGTAGGTCATGAGTAATCTGAACAATGTAACCCTAAAAGGGGTATAAGACCAGGGCGATGGGGAGTTGGGATACCAGAAACAGCGCATGTATTTCATATATAGAAGAATATGATCAACAGGTTGTAGATGATACTCGATCAGAAAGCCAAGGCCAAAAGATGCAAAGAGTTTTTAACACAAAGATGCTTTGTTATATAAATCAACATTATTCCGCCTTACCGAATAAACTATAGTGACCACTATTTATTTTGACATAGAAATCAGTGTTGTGGATATTCAAAAAGTTAATGCTTATTGCTAAAACAGAAAAGCATAACAAGTATATTGGAAGTAGTTATCTCTTCAGTAATAGCAGAGCCTCTTCTTCTATCTAGTAAGCAGTCGCGAGGTGTATTAGTGATAGCGTTTTTAAAGTTTTTGGTAAAACCATCCATGAATTTTTAAAAACTCTTGCCAGTGAGGGAATTTTAAAGGTTGCAATAAGCAATGCCTGGATAGTGGGGGCGAACTATTTGTCGTTTAAATATTTCCAAAAGATTGCAGCACTTTTATCGTAAATGAGTAGGTTTTCGAGACTACCAGTAATTCATATATATGAGTTGTGTTCACCGTATTTGGTTTAAGGTGATGAAGGACCGGTAGTTGAGTTTCCCACAATGATATGAGTAGAGCAGATGCTTTCCATTGAATTTCACATAGCCTTACTTTCCCAAAACGGTGGTATCATCCAGGGTGGACTGCAGTTTCGACCTAGCATAGGTTTTATCAACATTAAAAGGAGGAATCTGACCATGACAGTGCAGCGCGTAAGCTCGAAACGTTAACCACTACTCCACATTGCCATGAGTGCCCTTGGGTCACAGGGCAGATGTGAATTTCAAGGAATGTCAGGCATTTTCCATATCACATTCTGTG